AATTTATTTTTTTTGCCCCCCCCCCCCCCCCCAGAATTTAAATAACCTACACATCCTTGAGTTGACAACATAAAAAAAAAGCAAAAAAATTTAACTATTAAAAGAGCAAAATTTATATAAAATAGCAAAATTTATTAATTTTTAACTCATTCTTTTTTCTCTCTCTAGTGCGTTTCTTCGCAAAATTTCTCCTTCTCATTTCTTCTTTTCTATGTTTCCTTTCTTGATTCTTTGCAAATTATATGGAGTGCAAGTTGTTACGTTGGGGTCCCGTTTATTACGTCAATATAGAATGAAGAAGAAAATCTTAGGTAAAGTTTCGAATATGTGCTTTTCATTCTTAGGTCAATTGAAGGTTTTGTTTCAAAGTTTTTACTAATGTTCCTGTTTTTGGTTTTTCTCTTAGATTGCATCGTTAATTTTGAGTTCCCTATATCTAGACCGCGAGTTAGTTTGTTTTTTGTTTTGGGTTGGGCTTTGTTTGGGGTATACATTTACAGGTAGTTTGGATTTCTATTTTTTTAGGTTTATATTTTCGAGGGGGTTTTGATTTTTTTCTAGATTTTTTGTCGTGTTATATATGAATTTTATTTTTATATTTTTCTAAAAATATATTTCAAGTTCTATCAATTTTTTACTTCATATTTCGCTGAATTTATTTGGTTTGTGGAAACTGATTGTTGTATTATACTTGTCATTCCATTCTAACTTGTTTATTATATTTTTCTAGTTTAGACATGGCTATCGAATCTTTTAAGTAAACTGATTAATTTGTCACAATGAAAGTCTGTGCAGTTATGAATTCTGGGTATATGAAAACTTCTCGACAGATCAGTTATGTAACCCATCTGTCGTGATAAACTATTGTTCTTGATAGTTTGTTTCAGTCACTCTTGACAGATGACCAAATATCGAAAGATGATTCACCTGTTGATATTTCTCATCCGATGAATTGGAGTTCTTGATAGTTAAAGGCAACATCTCTCGAGCATTATAATTTTTTATTTTTATTTTATTTTATTTTTTGCTTTCTTATACGTTTGTTTCGCATTAACTTTTGAAGAATTCAAAAATTCAAATACTCTCGTCTCATTTCGTAGTTTGCAAACTCGAAATATTGAATTCATATCCATTAGTATTGTAATTGTTGTTTTCAACTAGATAGAGGAGGAATCAACCCGTGCTCGGATGACCATGAGAATCCATTGCCTAGTGGAAACTAAGAGGTGAACGGTATGTGTGTTAATTATGAGGAATTCAAAATTTTAAATACTCTCATCTCATTTCGGTTTGCAAACTACATATACTAAACTCATATTGGTAGTGTTGCTAATGTTATTTTCAAATAGATGGAGGAGTCATAGAACCTGAAGTGTCATGCTTGGACAACGAGAAAGTTCCCTCAACTTGTAGCGTGACAGAGACATCTACCATACCCGTCGAAAGCAACGATGTTGTTTACACAAAGAGACGGTGATCGACACATTTGATTTCTTGCAGCATCTACTAGGACTTCATACACTAAGAAGAGGAGAAATAGAGTAAAGAAATATTGTGACGAAATTTGTTAATACTACATTATAATCGATTTGTAATAGTGTACTAAATGTTCTCATTTTGCTTCCCTCCAAGAATGTGGTTATAAACACGATTTGGTGGTTTCATCCATGTCTGATTACACATTTTATCATTTCTTGTTTCTCATATTTGTTGGATTGTTCGATTAGCACAAGAAAAATGTTGAATTTCTTGATTGAAATTTGATTATGAGAGGTTTAAATATCAAAAATACTTTAGAACCATGCTACAATTAAGATACAAAATACTAATAAATTTTGATTACCAACAATTATATGCAGAAAGCATTAAGATAAAATGGTATGACTTTCTTTTAAGACACCATAACTACTTTCCTCCAAGAATTTAAATAGCATGGCATAACTTTCTTTTCAGTTACACTTTTCTCCAACTTTGTGACATTTTATACATCAAACATTTCAAAATGTTTTCACTCAATTTAACCATATTGAGATAATGGGTTGTCTACATGAAGCAACGAACCATTGAACCTGAATGAGCCTCTGCCAATACCCAATTCGTCCTCATTTTTCCTATCATAATTTTTTCGAATGATGAGGAAGTCAACCCTCCTAATGGTAGGAGAACCATTTCTGCCGGTCATTTTCTCAACTTATACAAAATTTCAAGTGAAGCCTCGCAATCACCGCCTAGTGTACTTGATGATGTGTTCGAGTTCGTGATTCCGTTTGAAGATGAATTCAACGATGATAAGTCGTTGGCGAACGTTCTACCTCCTGAGATAATTGTCATAAACTTGGACGATTCTGAAGAAGACAGTGGGGAGAACATTCAAATGTCGACAATGATTGAAGTGGGCTATAATTGTATACGTTTATGTACTAAACTATATATTATAATTTTGTCAGAGATGAATATGTTAACGCCTTTACCAAATGTTTTACAACAAGTTATCCCTTATGTATCTTATTTGTTGTTACATTTTCTGCTTTACAATCAACTGTCAAGAATGACAAAAACCTTTTGTCGGGATTGATAGTTAACTGTCAAGATGTTAGCAATGTCTGCAAACGATAATGAAATGATAATAATTATATAAGTTGAGAATGTGCTCGGGAACAACATGTCACTTATACATCTTATTTGTAGTCAAATTTTCTACTTTACAACCATCTGTCGGGGTGGTATGAAATTTATGTCTATGTAATTATTATGTTTGTGAACTTAATGTCTGCAAATGATAATAAAATGGAAAAAAATATAATTTCAGAATGTACAATGCTATGGGGGAACATTCAAAATACAACATCAATCACTTTCAGACATCAAGTCTATTTACGTGAGTTGTGTTAAAATGGTGTCGAAACATGTGGTCCAATTATGGCCAACTCTACCATAGCGAATGCGTAGGGTAATACTTATCATAACTAAAATGAAAGTGATTGTCCACTCTCGACTTCGATTCGTCATCCATATAAAAAAACTTTTCCCTCATGCAATATGATGATTTCAAATGATTACTAGTACTTGAAAAGTTGAAATTGCAATTGTAAGAACTTTGTACAATCAATATGTTGATATTTAATAGCATGAAAGTGACACTTTCGAATTTTAAATCCATTCAATAGCAAAATGTAAAATAAATGGTTGAATTTCGACAGTTAAATTATCTATTTCGACAGTTTTTAAATGTCGAGTTCAACAGTTGAGATGTCTATTCTAACAATTTCGAAATGTCAAATTCGAAAGTTGAACTGTCGAAACTGTTGTTGAGCTTGAAAATATGTATTAGGTATCTTGGAAGAAATTATTTAAAATATTACAGCTGTGTAACTCAAAAAAATAAAAATAAAAAAATAAATACTAATTTTTGGAGAAAGATAAACAGAAGCGGGACGATACCTGAACTTCACAAATTCTTTCATTTTCATCATAGAATTTAAAGCTTTTTAGATACACGACAATCACATGACATAATAGAGGCTCCTAAGCCTCCAGGACCAGCAATAGATCTCTATCCATCTCTTTCTTAACACTGCTGTAACACTTGCAGCAATTCTCTCGATCCAAATTACTAAATCCCCCTTCAAATTTAGTCCCACATTTCAATTTTTTTCAGTTTTTAGCCTCCATTTTTTTGATTTCTGGACATTATTATATCTTCAGTAAAGAAATAAATGAGGCGCCGAGGATCAGATTTACGCCGACCGGTGAGGCGGCGAGTTTCGAGTGTATTTTGGTTAACGCTTTGTGGGATTACGATCCTGCTCTTCATTGTTTTGATAAGCCGAGAGAATCAGAAACCCTCGTCGAGATCAGCTATTATTAAGGTAATTATGATATCATAATCAAATCATATATTTTTGGTTCTTTTATCCTTTTTGCTTGAACGAAAAAATTGGAAACTGAATTTCTGGTTCCAGCTTGAATTTCAATTTTGGGTTACTTGGGATTGATTTCATTTCATTTCTTGTGCTTTGTGGATTTTATATTGATAGAAATAAGCTATTTTAGCTTTGGAAATCCGTATAGATGGTGAAGAAGTGTGTGGACCTAGTGAAAGTTTAGGACGATTACATATTGATGTCGTAATTTCAGTTGGTTACTGCTGTTATATTGTCTTAATCATTAGAGTTGTGTTTGGGTAGTAACGGTAGTTGAAAATCTGACAAACTCCTGGACTGTACACTTGATATAATACTAGTCAATTTATGCTATAAGAACAGGTTTCAATGAAATTATCGGTGCGACTAATAATAATATTTAGCTTCTATTTGGCTAATTAATAAATGATTAATAAATTATCATACTTCATTTTCAAGTGGACATTTCAATGGAATCACAAGTACTATTCATTTATCCACAACTCATTTCTATCTAGTCATAAATTAAACCCTTTATAAATTCATTCCAAACTGTAAATGCAACTACGAAACTGATGGTTTTAGTTGTTTGTCTGTGTGTACCTTATACATTGATAGGTCAATGGTTACACTCAATAACTGCATTGTTCAGAATTTGGGAACAAGAGTTCAGATTCAATCTATATTGCTTTTCTTAATTGGGGAGGCTTGTTGATGACTTGTTTTCAAGGTTGAAGGTTTAAGTGTTGAGTTTGGATTCGAATTATCTGCTTTTATACCCTTTTCAAAGTTCCCTGTATTGATATGAATTGTTTTCTTAGGTTCTTTAATCTCTCCATGTATAATAGTATATCGCTGATCATTCTCAAATCTAGGTAGTTAGCCAACATTCCATTCATTGATCAATAAGTTCCAGAAAGCCCCAAGCTTTTTAAGATTAAATAGCAAACTCGTGCATCTATGAATAGAACATATCAAAAGTGATGCACATCCCATAGAAAAAAAAATACTCCCCCTGAAGTACCGTAAGAATATACCACAAACTAACCCTTATTCTGAATAAAGCCCAAGGAAGTAGCATCCTTAGACTATTGTATCCTTGGTGATTGAATGTCGAAGGAATAAGGGCTGTACTTATAGATCTGAAGAACATGATGGTATGTAGGGATAAAAGTTTGTAAAAACAAAGTATTTTACGTCTTTTGTGATGTTCAATGAATTTCGTGAGTTTAGTAACCCACTTGTCGTCAATGTTTTCGAAAGTGTGTTTGACATAATAGTGTTCTTTGATGGATCAATCAAGGATGGGTAAATTCCTCTAGGGGTCCTAACATTTCATGAATTTGGCGGTCGTTGTTCCCAACCTTTCATTTATGGCAACTATGTCCCCAACCTTTTAACACGTTGACAATCAGATGACTCTATTTAAATGTCAAATGCCCATGCAAACGCACATTATGTGTGACTGAAGGGGTAAAACTGTTCAAAAAAGATTTCATTTATTGCATAAACCAAACTTTGACTGTTCAACTTACATTTAATGTTGCTCTTTTTTCGACAATATATCTTTCAGTTAGACATCACATGGCCGTTTAACATTTAAATAGACAGTTTCCGTCATGTGGATAGATCAGATGCATTGTGTTAAAAGGTTGGGGACGTGGGTATTGGTTGTTAGTTGTTACAAATGGAAGGTAGGGAACATTGCTGCCACGCTTATGAAAGGTTGGGGACCCGTGGAGGTATTTATGCATAAACAATTATAGATTGATTATTGTGATTGTTACTTGAAAAGAGCAAATAAGTTGATTCTTGTTTTTTGGGTATAGAAACACGTTTTAAATGATTATTATGTATTTTCGGATCGGGGAAATACTAATAACTGCTTAGAGAACATTGATAATTGCAATATTTGTAGAGAGCATTCAACAATGAAGCTCATATTTTGGTTATCTGTATGTTATTATTAGTTCAGGATTGTTATACACTATGCGGCAAAGTTTATTTGAACCATTTGACCTCTTTTTGAAATGACAAAGCACCAATTTTTTAACCCCCACGGAACAGTCATGACCCCCATGAATGTTGTATTTTTTATTAATTTTAGTAGAATTATATTGAAAAATGAGGATGAAAATTATAATGAATGAGAACTACTTAAATAAGTAAAGAAAAAGTAATTGTTGATGTATAGATATGATAAATGTGCATAATAACATTATTTCTACCTAAGGGGATACAATTCATATCTTTACCATGGACAGAATATAGATCTTCATACAAACTTGTCTCCGGGTCTTGCCAGATTTAAAGTGAGAGAATACATACTGGAGGAGGAAAAAGGTGATGTAGAACATAATGAATAAGAACTAGATTATAGAAGAAGAGAGAAGAGAAGAGGAGGGGGAGAAGCCAACAGAAGAAATTGGAAGAGAAAGTATTGTTTATCCAATTCTTCAAAACACAAACTATTACAATGCATAAGCCCCTTCTATCCTTCGATACAGGGTTTAAACTAATCTAATTCAAATAAGAAACAAAAATAAAATACTAAAGAATCTATGAAATAAACCTTAATTATTTTTCATAAAATGAAAGTCTAAAAGTGTAAAGTCTTCATATAATATATGTAATCAGATCTCCATAATCTCTCTTGGATTGAGAGAATTCAACTCCGAGGAGATAGATTGCTACTTCTTACCAAATAATATAGCAATACTGACCATATGAGGACAATTGGATGATTCCAAATAGCAACAACTTGATAATAGAATTAGGATTTATTTTACAGACTTTCTTATTAGTTGTTTCTTACTTAAATTAGATTAGTTTAAACCTTATATAGGTGGGCTTATGCAATGTAATAGTTAGACTTTTGATGAATTGTATAAACATAATTTTTCTCCCAATTTCTTCCATCAGCTTCTCCCCTTCTTCCCCTCTTCCCCTCTTCTCTCTAATCATCTTACCCTTCCTCTTCTCATATCTTCTTTCTCCTATAATTCTGGACCTCTGGGTCTTGTTCTTTACATTCTAAGTCAAAAGGATGAGGCAAAAATTAGTAAGAGAAATATCTCCGTTCAACTTAATGACTTATTGACTTTTTTCTTTTTCCAACCAGGCAATTTTTGTAGCTTTATTTTATATTGCTGGTATTAGGATTAAGGTTTAATATTATGTAAAAATTTAGTCCCTATGAAATAAATATGAATTATTCCTTGAAAAAGACTGCTTGACCAAACAAGTGAAATAGGCCATTCATTTTGAGATGCAAGATGTAAAATTTCTTTCTGGTGTTAAAAATTTTTACCGGAGGAGTTTGGATATGGATGTACTCGTATGACTTCACGCGAATGCTGATATTGGATATGAGCTAGATCTTAAACCACAGTGGTCTGTGGTCTTCAGTAAGAAAAAATATTCATCTGGAACTTCAAGACCACCATTTGTTACTTTGTACAGTTGATTGATGAAGTACTCAATTTGCATATAATGTCTTTCTAACCTTATTAGTGCAAATCAAGAACCTTTGTGGCTGTTTATATGTTTTGCAGAGATCCTATAGACATGACAGAATCATTGAAGGCCTTAATATCACCGAAGAAATGTTAAGTGCCAACTCTGTAAGCAGGCAACTTAATGATCAAATTTCCCTAGCAAAGTCATTTCTTGCCATTGCAAAGGAAAGCAACAACCTCCAATTTGCATGGGAACTTAGTGCCCAAATCCGCAACTCACAAAAACTTCTCTCCAATGCTGCTTTAAGAAGAAATCCTTTGACTACCGGTGAATCAGAAATTGCAATTCGCGATATGGCACTTTTACTATTCCAAGCCCAGCAACTCCACTATGACAGTGCAACCATGATCATGAGGCTGAAGGCAAAGATCCAGGGTCTTGAAGAACAGATGAGTTCCGTAAATGAGAAAAGTTCGAAGTATGGACAAATAGCTGCTGAAGAAGTCCCGAAGAGTTTGTATTGTCTTGGTATTCGGTTGTCAACTGAATGGTACAAGAACTCAAATTTACAAAGAAAACTCAGAGAGAAAAGGGAAGCAGTTATAAAACTCAAAGATAACAATCTCTATCATTTTTGCGTCTTTTCTGACAACATTCTTGCAACTTCAGTTGTGGTAAATTCTACAGCTTTGAGTTCCCAAAATCCTGATCAGGTAGTCTTCCATGTCGTGACTGACGAGGTGACTTATGCTGCAATGAAGGCCTGGTTCGCCATGAACAGTTTTAAGGGAGTGACTGTTGATGTTCAGAAGATAGAAGAGTTTACCTGGTTGAATGCTTCTTATGTTCCTGTTCTTAAACAGCTTCAAGACTCCGACACCCAGAATTACTATTTTTCTGGTAGCAGTGGTGATAGACGGACGCCAATCAAATTTAGGAACCCAAAGTATCTATCCATGCTTAACCACTTAAGGTTCTATATTCCAGAAGTATTTCCCGAATTGAAGAAGGTTGCATTTCTTGATGATGATGTTATAGTTCAGAAAGATCTGTCGGGCCTGTTCACTATAGATCTAAATGGGAACGTAAATGGTGCAGTCGAGACATGCATGGAGACATTTCACAGATATCACAAGTACTTGAATTACTCGCACCCTCTTATTCGTGAACATTTCGATCCTGATGCATGTGGGTGGGCATTTGGGATGAACGTTTTTGATTTGGTCGAGTGGAGGAAAAGGAATGTCACCGGCATCTACCACTACTGGCAGGAAAAGAATGTCGACAGGACACTGTGGAAACTTGGCACCCTTCCACCGGGATTACTGACTTTCTACGGATTGACAGAACCGTTGAATCCTACATGGCACGTGTTAGGTTTAGGGTATACAAATGTTGATCCTCAGGTGATAGAGAAAGGGGCTGTACTACATTTTAATGGGAACTCGAAACCATGGCTGAAGATCGGCTTGGAAAAGTACAAGCCCCTTTGGGATAAATATGTCGATTATAGTCATCCTCTACTTCAACAATGCAATGTTCATTAATTCAACATAGATTGGCTCTCACTTTTCCCTCAAATATTGAAATAGATTTACGGGTAAATTATGAGAGTAACTGTTGTAACTAATATTATTTAATTGTTGTTTTAATTTGTGGTTGTGATATAATATTGAATTTACCTTAACATTGTTCACAAAACATTGTCCATCAAATTATAATAGCTTGGGATCACTTGTGTTGAGATTGGAATTTTGGTGTTTCTTTTGAAATCCTTTTATAAGGAGTTGAAATCTTGTCAAACGAATCCTTAATTTTAAATACAAACATTCTCTTTGTTAGAATCCTTTCTTCCCGGCATACAAGCCACGTCATCTATTGAATTAATATTGCAATGTTTTTAATTTGTCGTACACATCGTCTACTTTGCTTAAAAATAAAAAATAAAAAAAAAATGTTGAACCCCAATATTGAGGGCTTTCACCGTCCCGCCCTTAGAGTTTTGTGAGGAAAATAAATCGCGGGATGTGCACCAACAGACCAGGGAACAAGAGCTGTCTGTACATTACGCCTACAAAGAGTTCAATTTCATGTTTTAGGAATCGAACCTCCACACTGCGATTGTCAGCAAGACGTGAGATAACCTCACTCATATCATTTGCACCACTGAATTATACGTGGGTACATCGTCTACTTCATTGGTTTTATCCAAAATGGACTAACGGGATGAATTGTATCAAGTTCATGCGGCCAAAAAGGAAAGGAAGGGAAAAAAAAAAAAAAAAAGGGCTGGGAGGCTATTACGACGCCGTTGCACCCCATCATGCAAGCACCCTTTTACTCAAACGAATCCTATTTCCAATTTGCTGTTTGACGCCCGTTCGATCTTGGAAAGAAAAAGCACAAAGCCATGGCTACTTCGTTGGCTGCAACGACGGCGCGCCGAGCTGCAACATTCGCTCGGTCCGCCTCTATGATTCCCCGCCGTGGCCTCGCTGGCGCCGCTGGTACCGTGCTAACCTAATATTTCTCAGGTCGAATCTATTGAATATATGTGTCTGTATGATTGTTTCTTTCTCCCTCTCTCTCTTTTTCTTATTTTTATATATGACCCAAATGAAGTACTTTTGTTATTTTATTTTATTTTTGATTATCTGGAAATGGGTTTATTGTAGATCACCATGGGCCACGTAAGGTTGATTTCTGGAAAGACCCCATGAGTCCATCCAAGTGGAAGGAAGAGCACGTGCGTTTCTTGTCATTCTTTCCGTCTTTTATTGTTTTTGTCGAATGTGAATTATTTTCATTTTGTATGTAGATATATTGAAAGCATTATTTTTGAGTTCTTCAATTATACTGGAAATTTAAATCTTGTCATGTATACAATGAGTCACAATAAAATAGGTTTATAGAGTTCTTTGCTATGATGTTTGTTGAAAAGCTAATTTCTTGATAAATCTATGGTTAGGATTGTTTTGGAGCCATAGATATGGCTTTAACCGTCTGAACCAGATGAAGGCCAGCAGTGTAATTCTAAGTTTGTTGTATATTCTAGAGATAATTGAAAACTTTACAAGGCATTTGAATACGTTCTCTGTTTATAAAAAATTATCTCTTTTAACTCTATTATAGGAAAGTTGACTGCTCAAACTTCTGAAATACCTGACTTGAGGGCAGCATTTATGCATATTTAATTAGTTCATCACACAATGGAACTGTACTTCTGAATAAATGAACAACATCTTTATAAAGCTTGAATGCTAATAAGTTGTGAATTTGAAAATCTATTTTTACTGATTTGGGAACAGGGGATACGCTATTGCCTGATTGTGCTTTGCTGGTACAGACTATTATATATGTCAGTCCGAAAACTAAAGCACAAATTCCTTGGGGAAGTAGATAATTTGTCATGTTTAAAATTTTCCATGACCATCTAGGTAGTATATCATATATGTACAGCCAAATGCAAAATTTAGGAATATGTACTGGTAAAAATGCTATAGATTTAGTACTTAGAGGAGGACATTTGGCCTTACCTCTTAAGTTGCTTAAAAAATAAAGCAGTGTGAACTGAGAGTGATTAGCACCAAACTTTATTTCGAGGAGCCATACCTAAGCAAGTTGAGGTCTAGCTTCTGAAGGTACGAATCATGTGCTCTTGTCACACTACATTTACAATAGTAGGAGCAACACGAGCCTCAGGAACAGACCCTACAAATTCAATTATGATGGCATCGTGCATAAAATAACATTTAATTTAATTTAGGGTGATTAGTTTAGTAGATGCTTAACAATATATTTTGTTAACTAAATATCATGAGGATTATTAGTGACTAATTTTACCAATCTCCCCAATATCTCTAGTAAGTCTCTCCTCTATCATGGGAACCTTTATTGGTTGCCATGAGAAGTTATATATTGATTCTTACGGACAGTACATGTCTATGCAAATTTAAAAAAATTATCATTCTATGTTCCACAACCCACCCTAGTCCCTAGACCATTTTATTTTTGATAACATCAGTAGGGTTTAGCTACATACCAACTAAATTGATACACACTCTTTGAGGTGTAAGCCAACCACAAATTTGCGCGTTTGGATTCAATTCATGGTTCTTGGATTGCATTGCTGACTCTATGTACGACAGCAAACAAATAAAGATCAGATTACAGTTGGGAATGGAAAATGAATTCATATATTGATGGATTCAACTAGGATCAAATGTAACTAATGCAACAAATAAATATGTTGAACCTGGAATATGTGAAAGTACAAACTGACATGTTAATGCTTATGTATGAAAAGAAATTGAGCTCCATGCTGATGAAAATGGATATGGTACTTTTCTTACCTTGTGCTGCTTTTAATAAGATCAATGTCAAAGGTCATGAGGATTGACTGTTTTATGCATTAATCTGGAAGGGACTCTGAGTATGAATGAACTAGAGGTCAATATGTAGTTAATTGGAAGGACAAATTGATCTATTATTAATGTTATTGCGAAGGTATTGAACAAAGCTTAGTAGCACCACAATGTGCTAATTTGTATACGATTTTAGTGGAATTTGTTAAATGTGAACATTGTCCGGTATTGCAGAGTGATTTATGTCTATTATTTTTAGAGAAAGGTGATCCCAAGAAAAAAATTCAGTCAAAGCTACCATGCCATTTTCCTGTGGGGATTTCTGGAAAAGGAATGTTACTAGTTAATTTTACACTTGAGTGCAGAATCAATATCATGTATTATGTTTATCAAAGTTCACTTGTACTGAATATTTGTGCTCTTTTCCTCCAGAGAATTTTGGTGTTCATGCATATGTACATTTGGCTTGGCTAAGTTATTCTTTTGACCTATTGCTTGTGTATTAATTATGGAATTCTGCAAACATTCTTCATTTTCTCTTATAAATGGATCCTACTCTTTCCTGTTCTACTCACATATTTTCACTGTTCATTCATTTCTCATGTGGAACACCATTAAGATAAAGTTAAGGTTTACAGATATCATATCTGAAAAATACTGTGAATTTTTTATGCTGTGTATCTTTGAATATGCAGTTTGTGATTGTCTCCTTATCTGGCTGGGGTTTGCTTTTCTTTGGAGGGTACAAGTTCTTCACGGGAGGCCAGAAGAACAATGAGGTGCCGTTTCTTTCTTTACATGTCAACTTTATGCAGTATGGATTTTGTAACGTGGCTTAATGAGATATATAATTGTACTGTGCAGTACTACAGTTGGCTTGATCATACATGCCCAACTTTTTTTACAACACATCCATTGGATGGGCAGATTGAATCTTGATTGATCAATTTATATTTTTGTTTATTTATTTTCTTTTTTTTGCAGAAATTGGTGGAAGCAACACATTAGATCTTCATGGGAGGCCAGAAGAACAATGAGGTGCCGTTTCTTTCTTTACATGTCAACTTTATGCAGTATGGATTTTGTAACGTGGCTTAATGAGATATATAATTGTACTGTGCAGTACTACAGTTGGCTTGATCATACATGCCCAACTTTTTTTACAACACATCCATTGGATGGGCAGATTGAATCTTGATTGATCAATTTATATTTTTGTTTATTTATTTTCTTTTTTTTGCAGAAATTGGTGGAAGCAACACATTAGATTAGAGTAGAGAATTTTGAACGTCGTCATTACAGAAACTTTCTTCTAATATATTGAACTTCATATTTCCTTGTTCGATTTTGATGTATGGGGACAGCTCAACTGTTTCCAATCAATTTCAGTGATCATTGAAATGCTAAGCTCAGGTGATGACTGAAATAATACAACTTCAAACACTTTCGTGGCCATTACATTTTACATTTTGATCTTTCGATTCACTTTGCTTTAATGTCGACCTAATAAGGTATGAACATCATTGATCGATTGATTACCCGCAAGTGAACGGGATCGTGAACAAGTAATAAAGTGGTGTGTAGCATGGATCCACGAGGACTATGTGTTTGATTGAATTAAATAATTCTCTTAATTGAATAGCAAGGTCGAGTTGTAACTAACACTATTAAATCTATCAACTAAATAGAAAGCGAGTAAAAGTTTATCAAATTTGCGAGAAGTATTGCTAAGATGTGGAATTCCTCTTGGTACTTCATTTTTAATTCGACAATTTAAATTGACAATTTGAAATCATGCTTATTGGTCAATATTCCTATTTTAATTGAAAACTTCTCTCGATAGTTATCAAATATATTTCCCTCATGCGACCTTGTTATCCCTCGATGAAATATGCGAACATGATAAATGCATTAAACGAGTTAGAACATCTTATAAAAATCATATGAAATATAGAGATATATTTCTATCCTCTATCAAATCTCGCAATATTTATTATTTTGTGCTAATGATCCTAGTTTCTCTCTCGATAACAACAAAATTCATAAACAATTTAACTAGTGGCTAATTAATTGAAAAGTATGAAAACGATAATAAACATCCAAACAATTAAACAAATTAATGTCAATTAAAATTTTCAAATTAAAAATTCATAACAAGGGTTCATCACATTCTAGCAAATATGAAAAATTAGCCTAACATATTTAAATTACAAAAAATCATATATAAGTGGAAAGACATAATCCGGATTTTTGAAAAATTGAGAAGATAAAGACAAATTTTGAAATCTTGAATCTCTTCAATAGTTTCTTAATAAATCTCCACTAAGTTTGAATTTTCACTTGATTGAATTCTTGCAAGTCCCCTTCAATTCTCTCACAAAAACAATGAATTCTCCTCATTTGATGATGATAATTGATAAATATTGGAGTATATTATGTATAAGAGAAAAATATGAGCGTCCCCCTTTGTGTATTCTCCTGTTGGGTATCTGTAGTGGTCGAAAATTGATGAAAAATCACGTACAAATTGGTTTCCAAAAGAGTTCCAATCGAATAAGGAAAGTTACACTCGCGCGCGGATTTTTTTGTCTCTGCACAGCAGTCAGTATTTTGATCATAACTTTGTCTTTCGATATCCAATTGAGTTGATTCAAAATGCATTGGAAAGCTAACTAAAAGTTTTACAATTTTCCTAGAAATAGATATTTTCCAATTCGGACGTTTACTATGTAAAAAATTGGTTGTAATCCTTGACTAAAAATCTGAAAAATATATCATGTAATTGAAAGTCGATTTATGGTAATATTCTGATGATATTCCATTCCTTTTTGACTTTTAATTGCATTTAATTGATTCCCATCAATTTTTTACATATTTCTTATGGTCCAATTCAACCATTGGATATTTGCAAATTGGTCCTCAACTTTGTGATTCGTCATTTTTCGCCCTTTTCACTTCTTTCTTTCGTTTTAACTTCCAACCATCGAGTTTTACCTAATAAATGAAATATACAACAAATTAGGCTATAATTTCTTTAAAGAACTATTAAATGTCTATATTTTTAGGTTTACATAAATGTATAAAATACACTTATCAAACACCCCCAAACTTAAACATTTGTTTGTTCTTAAACAAAATCATAACTTAACTTAACAAACACACAAACATGTAAAATATTTTGGTTAGATAATCTAGCTTTTTACATCGGGAATGGAGATCATCGTAATAAATATACAAACTGCTTCAAAGTCACAACACCAAACCAATATCCATTTTTTTAATGCAAAATCGACGTGTGTATGTGTGTGTGTGAAGAACTAGGTAGACATTAATGACTTCACAAGTTGTTCCAATTTTCGACCCTTTATGGTCAAATTTATCTTTTCATCTCTCATAAGATTTACATACCCACAAACTTATTTTTTTCACTCTTTTCCCAGCGTGTGATCTAAGATTGAGTTTTTCATTACTATCCTCATCCTCTCCAATTTGGATGGATGTCACTAGTTGCAAGTCAACACATCAATGAATAAAGATTTTCTAATTATTTAATTGCTTCGACTGCAAGACTCAACTAGGCTAATTATCTTTCATCGAAAGTCAAATTCCTTCGAACAAGTATTAGGACTTAACAAGACATTTAATGCAATTTATGATTATTATTATTTTTTTGTTTTTTGTTTTTTGTTTTTTTGTTTTTTTATTTTATTTTTGTTTTTGATTTTGTTTTTGCACTCTCCCTTGAGCTTTCTAGATGACCCGTGTAGTAGGTTTTAAGCCGATGACTCCCAAGTCAGACCACTTTAGGGCACCAGGTTTTTAAACACTCTTACAGGCTTAATAACTCGGGTTATAAAGGCTTCGTAGAGAACAATTATTATTATTTTTTCAATGACAACTTTATCTCTGATTGCTTTCTAAATGACCCTTGTAGCGAACTTTAGGCCGATGACTCTCCAGTCAGATGATTTTAGGGCATCGGGTTTTAAGATACCTTTGCAGGCTTAATTGCTTGAGTCATTAAGGTTTCAAAGAGAAGTTTTAAATTCTAAAATATATGCCTTGATTAGTGCAATGACCATTATAATACACCTATTCAAGAAAATTGATCTCCAACTCAAGACTTTCACCCAATTTTATCTAGTTCATCTCAGACAATCCACACAATTTTTTTTTCACACAAGGAATCCCTGGCCACATCAGTATTTTCTTACAATATTAAAATCATCCCAAACTGTGCTAAATTTGATCTAATGATAATTAGTTTAGTATAGTTTGGGTAAAGCATCTATGTCCAACTCAATCCACCTATCAAGAGCATGAAACAACTTATTTCATCATAATATCAAACTCAATTCTAGTGCGCGTATAATATCAAGTTTTTTAAAGTTAAACTTCAATCACTCTAGCATGCAACATATCCACGGTTCATAAATTAACGCTAAATCTCAATTTAGATCATCATTGTCGCCCAGACTATCCAAACCACACAAGCACACAACCTAATAAAAAAAAATTTGTTGTTGTTGTTGTTGTTTTTTTTTTTTTTCTTTTTTAAGTAGTACCAAACAAACGCACCCAAACACACAAGCATACGAAAACAAAAAAACTCAATGTTTTTTTTTCACCCCTAAACTTAAACCCGACAGTGTCCTCAATATCATAAAGCAAAAGTAAGAGTATAAGGGAATGGGGAAGAAAAGGAAGAAAATACGCCTTGAAGTTTTCTGTTGAATATGTGAGGCACTATGGATGACGGCTCGACAATCTCTGTTATCATATTTCTCCTTTGGTTTATATTGGTTTGAGTGTTCCACGACGTCATGTTCCTGACATAGCAGTTCAAATCAAATATTAAAGTTCAAATAACCTGAAACATGTGTTACTTAACCCAAACAATCAAAATACCAACAATAAATTCAATGGCCTAAGTGGAGTATTAAGGATGATGATACCCTACAAATTAACGTGTCTAAATCTAATGCAACCAAATAATCAAAATAAATCTATATGCTATGCGATGCAGAAATCAAAATAAATAAAAGGGTTAGAAGATTGGGTTGCCTCCCAATAAGCGCTTAATTTATAGTCTTTAGCTAGACTGTACGGAGGAATTGATCAGGGTGGTTTAAACATGTATCTTGAGTTTTTGCACTCTTTGCAATTTCTGGCTTTGCATCCTTGTTTTGTCATCCAAACATTGAACCCTCCGTTCCCCTTTCGTCCAAGGCTTCCTAAATTTTTAGGTTTTGTCTCCTACGAGCCTTGTTGCACCTTGTAGCAATATACTTGCACTCTTCATTAGCTTTTTTGCTGATCTCTTCATAATGGATACTCGATAGTGTTGTAGATCTTGAACTTCTGTTGCTTATCTTCCACTCTCAATGTCAATTCGCCACTTTCAAAGTCTATGACAGCTCGGCTTGTTGATAGAAAGGATCTACCCAAGATAAGTAACGTTGCATCCCATGGCTCTTCTATATCTAGGACAAAAAATCAATGGGAAATATGAAATTGCCCACTTTAATGAGCACGTTCTCAACCACTCCTCATGGGTATTTAATTGATCTGTCTGCCAATTGAAGGGAGATGAATGTGTCATTTAACTCTTCCAATCCTAATATCTTGTATACAGAGAAAGACATTAAGTTTATACTTGCTCCTAAGTCGCATAAACAATTAAAATTCGAATCATTCCCTATTGAGTAAGATATTTTGAGACTCTCTGGATCTTGTTGCTTAGGAGGTAATTTGTTCTGCAGGATGTCACCACACTCCTCATTTAACTTGATGGTCTCAAAATCTATAAGCCTTCTCTTTTTCGATAGGATCTCCTTTAAAATTTTTGCATAGTTTGGTATTTGAGATAAAGCTTCAATCAATGGGATATTGACATGAAGCTTTCTGAAGATATCCAAGAACTTTGCAAATTGTTCTTCTAACTTCCTCTTTTGTAATCTCTGTGGAAACGGGACAGGAAGCCCATAAGGCTTGATAGGAACAGTTGCCTTAACCTATAGATTTTCTGACTCTTGATATGGAGCTATTTTATCTGGCTGTTCAGATTTATCCACTTGCTCCTCATCTATGGAAGGTACTTTTTTCATTTACTTTTACCCATCTTTCAACTGTAATTTCTAGAAGTTGAATCCCACTGCGTGTAGTGATTGCCCCAACCTCCTCATTCTCTACAACTTTTACTGCCATTACCTGCTGCTTAGGATTTATCTCAGTGTCGCTTGGCAATACTCCTTGTTGTTTTTCTAATAGTGCTTTTGCTATTTGCCCCATCTGATTTTCCAAATTCTTGAAAACAACTCCTTGAATTTGTAAAATCTTATCCGTCCTCTGCATGTGTTGAGTGGATATTTTTGCTAACTTAGTCACAAGATCTTCTAACGAAGACTTCTTCTCATTTTGCTGAAACCCGGGTAGTACTGTTTGTTGTGGCGCGATCTGAGCTCCCTGATTATTACTCCATTGAAAACTTGGGTGATTCCTCTAGCCTGGGTAATATGTGTTAGGATTTGGATTATGTTGTTGCCTTTGAAAATTCTGAGTGTAGTTCACGTCTTCTACCGTCTGAGCAAAAGGAGATCCTACGTTACAATCAACACTCTTATGGTTCCCTCCACAATGTTTGCATTTCGGTCCCACTATCTAGGTTACACTCATCTGATCTACCTTCTGTGCCAATGATGTCAATTGTGCTGAAAGTGCTGTTAAAGAATCAACTTCGAATACCTCAGTAGCTTTCTTTCCACTCGTTCTTTCAGTAAGCCAAAGTGCACTAGTAAATACCTAATCCTCCATGATTTAGTAGACCTGGTCCGCGGTTCTTTTCGTGATAGAACCATCGCACGTAGAGTCTACGTTAGCCCTGCTAATCGGGTTCAAACCAATGTAAAAGTATTGCACTTGAAGCCACTTCTACAATCCGTGTTGTGGGCACTGGCGAAGTAAACCCTTGTATCGTTCCCAAGCCTCTGAATAGCATTCTGAGTCCATTTGCTGAAAAGTGGTTATCTCATCCCTTAGCTTTGTAATCCTTTTTGGTGGGAAATATTTGTTTAGAAATTTCTGACTCAATTGGTTCCATATTGTGATGCTCTGTGGTGGGTAAGTGTCTAACCATTCCCTTGCTGAATCTCTCAATGTGTATGAGCAGAGCCTTAGTCTAATTGCTTCACTTGAAACCCCCGGATACTCAATTGTTGCGCACATGTCCAGAAATCTTGATATATGAGCGTTAGGATTCTCTGTAGCTTTCCAAAAAATTATAGCGCATTTTGGAACATGTTGATGACATCTGTCCTCAGGTGGAAGTTTGTCTGACCAAACGCTGGATATACGATACTGGACTGGCTTTCCACTACTGGTGGAATCATATACTCTCCCATGAGCCTTGCATTTTCATTGACTACAGCGATATTCGGTTGTGCAACTCCTAAATTAGCCTCGATGGCTGTTTGATTCGGATTTTCGTTTGCCATGTCTTCCTCTTTCTGATTTTGATGTGTTTCAAGTTGTTGTGTTTTTCGAAAGTTGAATGTTTGTTAGATTTCTGGGTCAAATTGAGCAAGATCACTCGAACTTTACATACAAAGTCTTGAAAAAGAAAGTAAGAAACACTGTAAAAAATTTCTAAATTAATGAACTAAATTAAAAATAAGAAAAATTTAGATTAAAGTTAAAATTAATTAAAACTAGTCAAAAACAATAGTCCCCTACAACGGCGCCAAAAATTCGATCGATTCATTACTCTCAAGTGAACGGGATCGTGAACAAGTAATAAAGTAGTGTGTAGAGTGTCGAACCCACGAGGACTATGTGTTTAATCGAGTTAAAGCTAATAATTCCCTTAATCGAATAGCAAGGTCGAGTTGTAATTAGCACTATTAAATCTATCAACTAAATAGAAAGCAAGTAAAAGTTTAACAAATTTGCGATAAGTATTGCTAAGATGTAGAATCCCCCTTACTACTCCATTTTTAGTTCGACAATTTAAATTGACAATTTGAAATCTTGCTTGTTGGTCAATGTTCCTATTTTAATTGAAAACATCTCTCGATAGTTATCAAATCTATTTCCCTAATGCGACCTTCTTATTCATCGATGAAAGATGCGAACATGATAAATGCATTAAACGAGTTAGAACATCTTATAAAAATCATATGAAGTACAGGGGTATATCTCTATCCTCTATCGAATCTCACAATATTTATTATTTTGTGCTAATGATCCTATTGTCTCTCTCGATGACAACAAAATCCACACACAATTCAACTAGTGGTCAATTAATTGAAAAGCATGAAAACGATAATAAACATCCAAACAATGAAACAAATTAACGCCAATTAAATTATTCAAATTAAAAATTCATAACAAGGGTTCATCACATCCTAGCAAATATGAAAAATTAGCCTAATATATTTAAATTACAAGAAATCATATATAAGTAGAAAGACATAACCCGGATTTTTGATAAATTGAGAAGATGGAGACAAATTTTGAAATCTTGAATCTCTTCAATGGTTTCTTAATAAATCTCCACTTGCGTTCTCTCTTCTTTGTCTAATACCAAGTTTGAATCTTCACTTGATTGAATTCTTGCAAGTCCCCTTCAATTCTCTCACTAAAACAATGAATTCTCCTTATTTATTGATGATAATTGATGAATATTGGAGTATATTATGTGTAAGAGAAAAGTATGAGAGCCCTCTTTGTGTATTCTTCTGTTGGGTATCTGTAGTGGTCAAAAATTGGTGAAAAATCACGTCCAAATTGGTTTCCAAAAGAGTTCCAATTGAATAAGGAAAGTTACACTCGCGCACGGATTTTTTGTCTCTGCACAACAGTCAGTATTTTGATAATAACTTTGTCTCCCGATATCTGATTGAGTTGATTCAAAATGCGTTGGAAAGCTAACTAAAAGTGCTAAATTTTCCTAGAAATAGATATTTTTCAATTCGAATGTTTACTATGCCAAAAATTGACTCCCATCAATCTTTAACATATCTCTTATGGTCCAATTCAGCCATTGGATATTTGCAAATTGGTCCTCAACTTTGTACTTCGTCATTTTTCGTAGTTTTTCACTTCTTTCTTTCGATTTAACTTCCAACCATCGAGTTTTACCAAATAAATAAAATATACAACGAATTAGGCTATAATTGCTTTATAGAACTATTAAATGTCTATATTTTTAGGTCTACATAAATATATAAAATACACTTATGATCCTTATTGACGCATCACAATTTCCCGTTTGTCAAGATGGAAGTGTGATTACACTATAATGCATGAGATAAAGATGAGAATATTTGCTTGTCAAATCACTTCAGATTATCTCTAATTTGACTTATTTTATCTTCAATCTGACTTATTTAGCTCCAATACGACTTAAAGTTGCGTGTAATTATTATGTTTAAATTGATTATTTTCTATCAAGTTGATACTCAAATTTATAGATTCAAATGGGTTGAGGATTCATAACACACTAGATGAAAAGTTGGGGAGCTCTGCCCTAATTTACGCTGTTCATAAAATTTCTGATTTTGCCTTGGGTTAAACAATAATTATGTGTGCAAAATAGTGATTGTCAGTAAAGTGTTTACATAGTTAGTTATTATCACTGATGGTGAAAATTGTCTAATTTGGGTGTTCTACTGCTGTTAGGGGTGGGCAAATTACTCGTATAATCGATCCAAACTTGGAGGGATGTTGATTCGATTTTCGGGTTGGTTAAAACCTCGATTTGAGGGATTAGGTTTAAAAAAGAAATCGTCTTCTTTAATCGATAAATTGAATCGATTTAGGTCACTTTATTCTTTTTGACGATTTAGTTTTGGGTTGAAATTTTATCCAACTCGAACTATCGGTTCAGTTGTTGGGTCGGATCGAAACCACCCAATCATGTACATCCCTATATGGGTTTTCTACAAAATATCTCGAAAAAAAAAAAAAAACATATTCAAATGTCTTAGAAAGGAGGACAGATTCACATTCACGTGCACGCTTATCTGGTAAATTGACGTCCCAACTACTGAAGTTACTACGATCTCAAAAATGGTTATCATTAAATTATTATGAGATAAATCCAACCACTTAAAATAAAGTCGATTTTAAATCGTAAATGGTTGTGTGAACTCTGGAAGAATCTAACACTAAACATGGTGGTTTCACTATTCTATTAGTTGCAATACTCAATGAAGCTGAAATCAGATGATAGGTTAAGATGGAATAGACTCGTTAATATGTCGATGTCCCCGCTAGAATATAACGAAAAGCTATTCCGCACGGAACAAAATGATTAAAAATCGATGCTTCGACCATGATGCCTTGATAGGTATTGTGCTTGCTATCATACTTATAAAGGCATGAGCTTCAGTAAATTTTACCTAATAGAAGATTTTATCGTGATGTGTCAATAAACTTATCCAAAATCCTTCTGACACCAACGTGATAAAAGTTATGAGTCTTATATTATAAACCTTGTTTAACACTTTAATTGAACTAATCCACATAAGCTGATCAATGAAGTAGGAAATTATTTATATTATTCAAAACTTGGAATAAAATCTCATTAATTATTAGTAGTTCCATTTGTTTATACTTTCAAGCCTTTGATCTTATCCTTCCACCGACAGAATCAATAATCATCAATTTTATACTGACGTGATAATTTCGTACACCTTACATTAAATTAATGCCACAGGTTTTTTAGTTTGGTCACAAATTAAAACAGAGCTAGCAATTTTCATTTAGGTGAAATCACAATCCATATTTTGCACATGCTATCGATTCATATTTGTAGCTCGTCCTTTTAAATAATTATTCTGACCAATCGATCTAACACAATACATATTTTACATACACATGTTGCATGTGTGCGAGCTTTTTTTACTTTTTTTTTTACATTTGTCAGGTCTATGATGGAGAGGGTGACATTTTTTTATTTTGTTTTCATGACGAGAAAATCCACAATCACTATCCTTTAAGTGCGCATTGAATAAACCCTCGAACTAATGTAATAACTTGCAAATCACGCCAACCAAGTAAACCATACTAGGCAAGTCAGGTGCGACAGACTCGATCGAAAAAGTGTTAATAGGGGAATCGAACTCGTGACTAAAGGCCTTCGTGCTCAACTACTCCACCAACTCGATCACCCCTTGAGGGTCACATATTTTTCATGTGTACGAGCCTTTTTTTTTATTTTTCGTTTTTTTTTTCTTCATTCATTTTTCAGGTCTATAATAGAGAGTGACATGGCAACAGTTGTGATATTTGTTTTGATCAGTTGATCGTTCGTCAAACACAAGTATACAAACACAGTTGAAGGCTTGAAGCAAACACCCAAATAAATGGATTCCAACCCAGCTTGTAATGTAAGTCTCTCTCTCTCTCTCTCTCTCTCTCTCTCTCTCTCTGTATATCTACACACCGGTGGCGGGAGCGGGGCGGCGTGGAGGAGGGTGTTTGTTGTGTATATCTATTTGCTTATGGACCACCATCATTTCCATGATGGTGAATTTGAGTAGTGTCCATTTAGAAAGAGTCTTCGTGGAGATATATGCGAAGAATTTTAAGTTGGTGTTAATGAGTGGCGAAGGTTTGAGTCCTGGGACGTCGATTTGGGGTAGAAAAAGTACCCAAAACAGAAAAAGAAAAGAAAAGAAAATGAGAGTACCCTTACAAGAAACACTTACGTTTATTATGAGAGTTTTCGGTGGAGGTACATACAAAGAATTATAAACTCGTGTTAATGAGTGGCGAAGGTTTGAGTCCTGAGATATCGATTTTGGGGGTAGAAAATGGAATGTATGTGTTTTGCAAATTCTGTTTTTTATGGAGTAGATGTATTAAGATGAACATTCAGAAGTTTGATACCAAGAATATAATCCCTACGATAGATTGATACAAGTACGTTAATTACTAGGTACATTTATGTATGTTTCTATTTTCCTTGTTAAATTTTTTCAAATAATAGTGATATGAACGAGGTAATACAGCAAATGCAGTTTGTCTTTATGACACTATGGTCATAATCAATTTGTGGGATCCCAATGTAATTAAAATATACCTACATTGTACACACATAGATGCCCACAAAAATGCAAGACCCACTCAGAAAGTTAAATTATGTAAAATTATAAGTCGACGTTACTTTTATGTTATTTACATTAGGACAATGACAAGAAGCAGACAGTGCAACATTCTATGCTCCTATGCTGCAAGTTATACATATCTGAATCGCGAAACAAAGAAGCTCTTGATTTGATTGAACGGGCAGTTAAGCGTGATCCAGAAACTGTCATCGTGAACAAATTCGAAGATCGAGAATATAATAGGGTTAGGTACACCCTTGTATCGTATGTCGCTCATGACAGTATAGGGTGTCCAATATACAGTCCTTTGCATCAATCTGTGATGGCCATGGCTGAAGCTGCTTATGAAGCCATAAATCTCGAGTTGCATTCTGGGGCTCACCCACGACTTGGTGTCGTGGACGACATCGTTTTTCATCCGTTGGGTCGAGCTTCATTAGATGAAGCAGCTTGGCTTGCCAAGGCAGTATCTGCAGATATTGGAAATAGATTTCAAGGTATCTATTGCTTACAGTGTAAATGAATTCATAAGATTAGTACAAAATTTTAAGAAATTTCCTACATGTTGCAGTACCAGTGTACCTATATGGTGCAGCACACCCAACAGGGAAGGCTCTAGACACCATCAGGCGTGAACTCGGGTATTATCGACCCAATTTTATGGGCAACCAGTGGGCTGGATGGACGCAGCCCGAAATTCTCCCCGAAGGACCTAATGAAGGGCCAAACACGGTGACTCGTGCTCGAGGCATTGCTATGATCGGTGCACGTTCATGGGTTGCCACCTACAATGTTCCCATCTTGTCGACAGACGTTTCAATAGCTAGACGGATTGCATTGATGGTGAGTGCTCGAGGCGGAGGCCTGCCTACGGTTCAAACACTAGGACTTGTTCATGGTGAGGACACAACTGAGATAGCTTGCATGTTACTCGAGCCAAACCAAATTGGTGCTGATCGAGTCCAAAACCATGTTCAGATGCTGGCAGAACAAGAAGGCTTAGATGTTGAGAAGGGTTATTTTACTGATTTTTCACCAGAGATGATTGTTGAAAGATACATGAAATTAATCTCTTCAGGCTCTGCTTGAGTTAAGGACCAAATGTAAGCTAATCAATTGCGATTCTTGAAGACTAATAAAGAATTAACAAGAGAAAAATAAGATATTTGTCAATAATTGTAATATCCAGCATATTAAACAATGCGTCTAACGTTTGAAGTGCTAAATAAAATGACATTTTTATTTTTCTTTCCATTGTGTTTCTTTTGTTATAGTTGGTGACTCAAATTGGAAAGGAAATTTTGAAAATGATTTGGAGAATCAAATAGTATCCGGAAAATAAGGAAACAAAGTCATTGTCTCGTTTTTTTTTTCTTTTTCACGTTTAACCTAAAATTCTTACTTTTTTAGGACTTTTTTAGCGCTAGACTCTTGTAGTATTAATATGAGTTTCCTCTTTCAGTATTGGAGAAGCCAATTGTCGTAATTCTCTTCTTTCATTAATGGAATAAAATAACATCGTTTCTCTGCCAATTTATTTCTTTACTTTAATCTTGTTCATGGTATTTTTGCAATCTTGTATTTATACTTCAAATTAGAGTCTATTAAATCTCATTTCTTGCGTTTCATTTCCACCTGGTCCCAACATCTTTACCATGTTCTAACAAAATGTTACTTTTAATTTTTTAGTTAATATTTAGAAATATCAACAGTTTAAAATTTTCAATATACGGATTAAAGTATATAAACAGTAAAATTTCATCGAAGTTACCAATGGATTCCTTTAGCAGTGTGACACTGTCCAATTATTCATTCGAACCAACTTTCTTGTGTTCCATCTAAAACCTAATGATTTTGTCCTGACCTACATACCTGGATTCAATTTTTCATCAAAAGAGTGGAATTTTTCATAAATGGGTAAAGGAGCAATATTTTTAAATGGTGAAGTTGCTTTGAAATCAAAAAACCCACAATGGAAAATCAAAAGGCACATGATAAACATATAAAATTGTCACAACCATGAAAATTAGTACCTCGGATATAAAACAAAAATAAAATACATGTAGAAAAATGCAAGGTTATGGAACCTTAAATTATCGAGCATGCCAAAGATATTGTAGTTCAAAGGTATCAAGAAAGAGTCTGCAACCTTTTAGCTGCCTTTCTGCATCTATCTCCTGCGTCTCAAACGTCCAGATGCCCTCTTCCCACTGCCAATACCTCCACTATAATGTCTCCTTGATGTCAAGGAAGATTGCTGCAAATTACAATCATACCCCAATTGCAACTGATTATGCTAAACACTGAACAGCTTGTTCTTCCACAACCACGAGCAGAAAATAAATACTGTAGTTTGAGGTGTCAAGAAAGTATATTCAATCCTAGCGGCCTCTCTGCCTGCCTCTCCCACGTCCAAAACGCCCACCTCTGTTCTGATGCACATTTCTCCCCCCACCACCAATACCTCGATCATGAGGTCTCTCTGAAGTTACAGGAGATTGTTGTAAATTAGGATTATATCCATTCAGTTGAACCGCTTGTCCTTCCACATTCACAGGCGGAGAGGTTTGTTGGCCATGTAAACCCATTCCAAATGGTGGCTGGTTCAACACATTTTGACCCATCCAGGGTGCAGGTGCAAATGTTGGGCCTCCAACAAAATTTGCTTGCCCACCTGGTAAAACAAAGTTAAAAGGCAACCCAGGAATTGTATTGCTTTGATGTTGCAGTGATACACCAGTTTGCAAAGGCATTTGAAAAAATTGTTGAGGATGAGTCTGTGGTAACCATGGAATACTGTTTCCCGGCAATCCAGTAGGAAGGCCCATACTTTGGGCCTGTTGACACGGGAACCCATTAGTCCAATTTCCATTTGGGGGGTAAAAACCCGGAGTTTGTGCCCTTGGTGCAAACGAAGGAACCATAGCACGTCCTTGATCCACAGATGGCCCAACTGGTGGGCGGACTGAATTCTGGTTTTGATCAATTAATAGGTTATTATCTCCGGCAGAGGTTTTACCCATTGCAACTTGATCACAGTTCCAGTTGCCAGATCGATTTTTGAATTGCTTTTTATCCCTTTTCTTCGTTCCAAGCTTCGGGTCATTTGTGCCCCTTTTCTTCATTTTAAGCATCCTCCTATACTCGGTCTCCTTTTCATCATCCGAAAATTCTACCTCATCCGACTTCTCCTCATCATTTTCTCCTGAAGCATCGTACCCTTTCTGGTAAAGATTCTTATCATGGAGTACATGATTTACAAACTCTGGAACAAAAGAGATTAATGTTCCTTGCTGAATATTTGCTGGGACTTCAGTCTCTGAATTGTATCTCACAATATAATAAGGGTTCTTCACTGGCCCAAAAACTTCATCCACTATTCCAAGTGCTGATCTGCTTTCAGTTATCCAAAGAATCGAGCCCTCGTTCAGAGGATTATGATTCTCCACCCCTTCTACAATGACCTGTGCACCTATGATCTGTACATGGGAAAATCATTGGTTAAACCATGTAAGCAGCGATCTCCAGTTTATATATTAAGTCCCTGTTTGAGCCACATTATTTAAAAAAAAAAAAAAAAACGTTATTAAACAGTGATTTGACATCATTTCAACCACACATTCTTCAATAAAATAATATTACACGTAAATCTAAAACTTTTCCTTATTTTTTAACCATACATTTCCCATTGATTTGAAATCAATAATGCATTTTTTCCTAGAATGTGGCTCAAACATGGGCTAAAAGACAAAACTTAGTGATAGAAGTATCAACAGTGCATTATGTCTTATAGTCAGTTGTACTCTATTTTTATGAACTTACCGATAAAACCATTCCAATAGGCAGGATTTGATGATGTGGTTCCAAAGTTACATTCACAGAAGGAACTGGGGGCAGAACCTGCAAAAAGAAATGAATGCAGCTATCAACTTTGTCCTAGGTTCAGGACATAACGAAATTTAGATAAAAAGCTTTCATATAAACTAAATTTTGGACATATCATGGGCTGTCACTCCACTCATTTTCCAAAGTACCAAATTTAAGAATATGGTGGAACTAATGACAACAAATAGGGTGCACATTACCAAGACAATCTTGAAATCGCATTTCTTACATAAAAAATCAAACTAGATTGTTAGTTTCTAACATATCCTTTATCAAACTCTGTATCCCTTGAACTATGTCTCCAGTGTCAAACCCTGAATGCTAAACACTTGAATAGATCATGAAGCTCTAAAGTCCAATAGAAGTTGAAAAATTGACTAGGCCATGCACTATAAACTCGTGAATGATCACTATTCTCATAACAAAATACTTATAACAGTAAACTACCAATATTTAAGCACAAAACAATATTTAAGGTCAGCTAGGGACAAGTACACCAAGACAATAAGGAGAGAATTCGGCCAGCATACTCCACACATGTTAGTATGTGTTTTCTTCTAGTTCATCATAAGTGAAGTTCAATCCCAGTCGAAGAAAGCTGCCCATACACCACCTTGGATGCTATAGAATAATATTTTAATGTTGAAAAGAGGTCTCGCCATTATTGGGTGACTTCCTCTTCCCTAGTCACACAGTTGATTTTATGAACGAAAGATGTTAACTGTTTACTTCCGCTGCTGTTGTGTCTTTCAACTTTTCAAAACTAAAATCAAATACTAACATGGTCTGATTAATTAGTTAGCCTAGAACAGCTGAAGGTTTTATTTTTTAGGATTTCTTAGATAACTCAATCCTGAAAGCTGAAAAGAGACTGAAGATTAGAAATAGAACAAACAAAGAGTCTGTACATGCCTAGCCTTCTACTCCTACAACTGAAGTGCTTCCCATCCCGCTGACAGATAATTTTATAATTTTGTTCTTGTTGGATCTGTAATTTTTATTTTCTTCTCCATATGTTTTCTTCCCTTTCAAAGTCAAAGCAAGCAAATTGGTGAACCACTGACCAGTTCTTTCATTCGTTTTAAACTTTTACATTAGATTTATGTTACTGGTCTCTATACATGATTTCAACTTTGTTAACTAATTATTAATTTCATTGATATATTTTTATTATGGTGGTTTCCAATGGTTGATAGTTTATTAAGAACACGAAATTAAAGTAGACGACAAAGTAGTTGGAAGACACGGGATAAATAATAAGAGATAGGGAATATAGATTCTTTTGCATCTCGATTCAAAATACATCCATCGTTGAAAATTCAAATAGATATGGGATGGAAAGTTTTTTCCAAGTATAACTTTGTCTTACCATAATTTCTTTGAATTACTTAGTTCACGGAGGGAAAAGGCCTCAATGTCCCATTTAGTCCTTCTAAACATTGTTTTATCCTACTTGCACTATTACTACTTCTCAATGAAGCACAAGTTCAAAAGTATGTTTCTTATCAATAAACTCAATAAATTGAATACTTGACACTTGACAGAAACATGGCAGATTGAGATAAGCAAAATGATCTTCAAAATTTAATATAAACAATTAATCTCGATAATAGTGACATGGTCATCATTGATAACAGCTATCAACTAGTCACTATCACCATCATGGACAATGTGGTGAAAAAACATGATATGGTAAATTCAATCAGAGAATTAGGTGATTCAAAAGCCTAATTCGATCAATTTTTCAAGTAGACAATAATATATAGCCAAAGGTTTCCCGCAATGCATACTGCTCACTGAATCAAAGTTCATCCAATTTCTGTTTTCACCATTCGACTATTACTTCACTAATTTTAAATTGTGGCATTACCCATTACTTGAGATCCTGTGCATTACAGACTACCAAGCTAGTAGAACAGAACTTAATTGCTTTGTTTTGCCATGAATGAATTGTGTGGTCAAAACAAGACACATACAAGATATTCAAGTTTCAAAATTAGTCAACATCCCTAATAGTAAAGCAGACAACAGAGATATAAGCATCTAAAGAACTAGATCACTTACCTGGAGTTCGTTCTTAGACCTGATGGGCCCTGCCATACCTCTTCCACCATCTTCATCATCTCCATCTTCACTCCAAGCAATCATCTCATCTGCATCAGACAACATTATCTCACCTTCTTCTATGTCCAGTTTCCCCCCAGCAAACCCAACCTCATTATCTGCTTTCTTCTCATCCCCACTTTCCTCCTCTTCTTCCGAAGCTTCATCTTCATCCTCTTCCTCACTATTAGAAGATGAGGACGAAGATGAAGATGACGAACTCTTGTTTTCCGACTCCATATCACTTTCAATATCATCCTCTCCATTATCAGAATCACCAATCCCCATTTCGTTCCCATTATCAATCACTATATTACCACTCTTCAACTCACACTCGTGGAGGCTCACATCTTTAGAATATTCTGCATAATTATCATTGGGGAATTCACATTTGTCACTCATATTACCTGTTTGTCCTTCGACACCAAGTGAAGTTGAGCCATTTGACCCATCCAGAGTAACTTTTCCAATCTCTTCCTCAATCAAACACCTATAATCTGCCAACTTCCCACAAAGCCCATCTCCGTTCAACTCCTCCTCAACCTTATTTGTCTCGATAAATCCATCAGCAACCTTCTCAACGCTACCAATTCCACCCTCTTCTTGGCCCACCTTACCACAAAACCCATCTCCATTTAACTCCTCTTTAACCAGAGTTTTCCCAACAAAATCATCATTATCAACTTCCAAACCCTTCTCAACAACCTCAAATTCAGTATCATTTGAGCCAATATGAACTGGTTTTTCTCCAAAATCAGCCATTACTGAATCAAAATCAAGAAAGGAATCAGCAAAAGATAAAGAGAAGTCTTCAAGACCTGGAAGACAGAGATCAAGTTGGTCGTTTAGTAAATATGGTTTCTTGAGTTCTGATAAAGATTGGTTTTTCAGGTTTTCTAGTTCCTCTTCTTCTTGTTCTACTCTCTCTTCTTCAGTAATAGAATCATGTAAATAGCTCACCATGGTCGGACTAAACTTTGGGTTCTGAAGGTAAGTTTCATGGTTGTCATACCGAAGAATAGCCAAGTTATATATGTATGTGTATACGCAGAAAGCGAAAATTATGGGAAGTGGCGTTACAAAGGCAAATCTTCTTAAACCCTAGTTGCTAGTATTTTCGATTCGAACAGGAAAGACTTGCCGCTATCAAGGGGAAAAAAAAAAATAAATAAATAAATAAAGAATACATTTACACCCACATCCCTAAACTATACCTCTTATCAATTATGGGTCAGACAAATCCCAAATTTGGATTGAAATTTGAAATTTTGAAATAGAACCCCAATTCCAAATATTGAATATTTAGCAAAAACCCAATAATTTATAGTAAAATTAGAAATCTGAGAATTCTACAATCCATTTGTTATTGAATTTTGCTACTTTACCCAAATTTTTTTTGGCCAAATGATTGACATTCTCTCACATGTTGTGGATCCTACGTAAATAAAAAAAGTTTCAAAAAAAAAGTGGGGTCCTCGTTATTATGAGAGTCAGTCACCCTTTCTATCAAAAAATACTCAGGCACTGTAGCGTGATTGTTATTTCGTCATATACTTTGATTTTAGAAATATTGTTATAATAATTTCTTAGACGTCTCAAACTCTTTAGCTTCAACAAAATAGTGGTGATGAGAAATAAAAATACGTAAAACAAAGTCTTCATGAAATCCCTAGTAAAAATTAACCCTATATGAAAGATGAGATTAAATTAGACTAAAATTAATCCCATCAGAGAACAATGTGTTATTAAATCGGAACAAGTGTTCCAAGGATCACTTCACAACATTGAATTTCTGATTATGTTATCTAAAATATCCAAAATCGTCCTATATATGTCATTCTTTGTTTGTATTGAATTGCGATGTTTTTACTATTTATAATGTGTTTTGCATTTAGTTAAGAATTTCGTGATAAAAAGTAATAAATTTGATATCAATAGTAGAATGTCATAACCTAATCAAAGAAATTTACTGAGGTTTCTATAATTTATGTTTGTTATTTTCGGCTTTATGCCTTTATCTTCACTGTTGTCATGTTAATTTCTTATCTTCATATTAGAAGTCTGTTTGGGAGGTATTTTTTACCTCAAAAAATTGATTTTTTGACCGTTATTTCACTATTTTAGCCGTAATTTTTGACTTATTCTCTTACAGGTGTATCCCACTTTTCTTCTAACGGTCAAAAAATCAATTCTCAAAATCCCTCCCAAACAGGATCTAGCCCATTACACTTTTAGCACCATATCTCTTTCCTTTTAATTTGTAACACTTCCGTTTTAGGAGTATATTAATTCTACGATTTTCAATTTTAATAGTACCTTATAAATTTGTAGATTTCTTCTTATTTCTTTAATGATTCCTTTCCATGCATTTTTTCTGAACTCATTTTTCATTTTAATAGAAATAATATCGAAACACTGTTGCCTATTTGAAATCAAAATTCCACCAAATTAATTTTTAAATTAAACAAACCAAGTTGATTCATTCCAATAAATGAAAAACCCTTGATCTAAAATTTCGATTATTAACTCAAAGAGATACAATTTTTCCCCCCTGATTTGTTATTGCTTAAATTTCAAACAAGCAACAAAAATTCAACAAGCAATATTTCATTGCTATAAAAATTCATTAAAAAATGACTGGAAAACCGCAACCACAAATGTAAAAACTTTCATATATCATAAACTAGTTTCTAGTTGATTTAGGAGTGAAAACCCTAGCTTAATTCGACCTAATC